AAAAAAATCTTTTTTTTGAGAAGTTTATGTATTTTACATGGAAATGAATATACCTTTTTCGACTCGTTAAAAGAATCTTTTTTCAATCCAGTGTGCAATTACGGCATACATATTTAGGGAAATTTTGGAAGCAGGTACACGAGCTTTTGTCTCTCACATTGAAAGTTACGTCAAGCACGACTGCAACATTGTGTGCGGGCTGAAAGGTAATGTTCGATTTTTACGTCTTTGCTCAAGTTTTAATTTTCCAGTTCTCTAATTTGCAATAGCTACTCAACTTGATTCATTATTACGGAACAGTAATAGTAGTTGAAATAATGAGATCAAAATAACCTGGCAGTATACAGATTTGGACGTTTCTGGACTGGCACACGCTTATGGTCTACTGCGGTTGCCGAAGATGCGCGAGTTGAGTGGAAGAAAGGATTTAGATAATTTTAAGAGGAGCGAGATTGACACTTCGACAATAAAGTATGCCAACCCGGCACTAGAAAGGAAACGAACTGAGGTAGCAAAGGCAGCTCAGTCGCTCAGAAGTTATCCTATTCTAGTTTAGATCATGGCTGGAAAGCATGAAAAGAGATTAAAGGCAAAAAAGGAATTGCTGGCCAAAAAGTCGCTAAGTAAGGCAAAGGATGGAAAAGGAATAAAGAAGGATGTAAAAAAGGATGCTAACAAAAACAATAAGGTTAGTTGGGGTTAAGGTTTAAATTTTTCAATTGAAAGCTTTGAAAAAAATCAAGCTTTTTAGGACTCGAAGCCTCTGAAAAGGAAAATTGAGCAGAATGCCGCCGAAGAAAAAGACGATTTGGAGAGTGACCTAAAGTTGATGAAGAAGATGAAGAAAGGAAGACTCAGCAAGAAAGAACTGCGAGATGTATTGTAAAAGATCTAAATGCAAATTATTTGTTACTTACTTGTTATCAAATCTTCGTTTTAAATGTTATTGTTACGTTGTTTTTGACTTTGTGCATTGGTTTGTCATTTGTTATGTTGATTTCAAAAAGAAGAAATCATTTTTTCGGACCCGTTAAAGTTAAACTGTGAAACTGGATCATACCTCGTACCTTTTCTGATTCTGTCAAAGGTTAACAAGATGCAAACTGATTTGTAATTAAGCTACTGGGTCGATCAAGGCAGAGCTAGAGAAATATGCTTCGATTCTCCAAATCATTCTTGATAAAAATTTTGGAATATGGTTTCTGTTCAGACATTGCTGATAAAATCATGTGCATTTGCAAACCAATCGACAATGTTGAGAAGTGACTGTCTTGAACTGAAAATCTGCACTGTTAAGTTATAAGAAAAACCGAATATGATTCTCTACTTTTATTTTTTATACTAAAATCAATTATTTATTATTTTCTCTGCATCCGAACTTATGTGCATTCAAGCTTTCATCAAACTGTCTCTCAACGTAGAATTAAGTCCTGATCTCTAGAATCTGCCTGTGATCCTTTAAATTACCTGCAGTGAATAATACTTGAACTAATGGAAGCCCTCGTAAATACATAACAAATTGTTTGTTTGAAAAGCTGCGCATCAGCAAATAACAGAGCCAA